AGCCACCGCGCCTGGCCGGTTTTTACATTTTTAAATGGTTGAAACAAATCACAATAACATTTTGTCACACATGAAGTTCAGATTTCAGTGTCCATAAATAAAGTTTTATTGTAACACAGCCACAACCCTCTGTTTACAGATTGTCTGTGGCTGCTTTCGGCAGAGTAGAGGAGTTGTGGCAGAGAACTGAAGGCCTGAAAAGTAAAATATTTACTCTCTGGCCCCTTAAGGAAAAGTGTACTGATGCCTTGTTCTAAGATGTTAGAGATTTAATGTGTCATGTGCCCAAAGATCTGCTTTCTGAGGAGGGGGCAAAACAACGAAATCTAGGCATCTGTCAGGCCAGCAGAAGAGACACTGGCCAGGGAAGCTTTCCTGACCTCCCAGTGACACTAGAGGAGCTAAGAGGGGAGAACTGTTTAGTCCTGCAGGTGGGACTGCTTCTGTCCACACCGGGATGGGGGGTATGGAGACAGTGGGGTTCAAGCACAGGACTCATTCTAGCTATGTTGACAGCAGGATTCAAAAGGGGATTTATAGCCTGAGCAAGAGTGAGACTCAGTCTCTACAAAAAATAGAAAATTTAGCCAGGCGTGGTGGTGCACACCTGTAGTCCCAGCTACTCAGGAGGCTCGGGAGGAGGATCACTCGAACCCAGGAGTTTGAGGTTGCAGTGAGCTATGATGATGCCACTGCACTCTAGCCCAGGTAACAGAGTGAGACCCTAGCTCAAAAAGAATGGCCTTCAATGAGCCCATGCCACCAGCTTCTCTGCCAGGCTGGCGGCAGTGATTCTACCTGAGGCCTCTCCTGTTCCCAGAGTCCTCAGGCCTCCATGGGCTGCCCCTGCACAGCACGTTCATTGCTGGCCTCTCTCCCATCTCTGCAGAATTCGCCTTCTGCCAGGTGGATGCTTCCATCGCTCTGCCTCTGGCCCTGGCCGTCCTGTGTGACCTGCTCCAGCAGTGGGACCAGCTGGCCCCTGGACTGCCCATCCTGCTGGGATGGCTGTTGGGAGAGGGTGACGACCTTGTGTTCTGTGTGGAGAGCACGCAGCAGGTAATCCCGGGGTGTCAGGGCAGTGGGAGGCAGGCCTGGAGTGCCCTAAACCCACTGGATGCAGCACTTGCAGGCTTAATTGGGTTTAATGCGCCTGTCGAAAGTGTGTTCCTGGATCCTTAGATACAGAGCAGGAACCTGTTTCTGTGATTAGGAAAGTCACCAGCTGGGTGCTGCTGTGGGCACTGGGGATGCTTTCATGCTGACTTCTGGGGTTTCAGTGGTGAGCCTTCAAATCAGTCGGGGGAGAAGACTTTGAAAGAAGCCCCTTGGATGTTGATAATATAATTATGGAGAATGCTGCTTAATTGACATTGGAGTTAGCCCAGGGCTCCCCAGAGTTAGGTCTGAGGGTGAAGCATTTCCAGAGAATTAGGGTCCTTCCAGGGAAACTGCTGCTTGAAGAAAACTACTAGCCCTCTCCAGGGCTGGAGCAGTCACAGATGGGGAAACTGAGGACCAAGACAAGCAGGAAAAACATTCTGAGAACTGAAATTCATAGCCACCAGTGTCTGACTCAGCTGGCTTGGCATCCCAGCAGGCCAAGAGTTCAAAAAGCAGCCTGTTTATGGGAAATTTGGAGACATGATAAAGTGTCTGTGATAAAACGACCTTGAAAATTCACAGGATCGTAGAAATTTGGTCTCATACTCAGAGACTAACTAGTGTCTTGTGTTTGGTAATTCTTTGCTTTTTGCTCTATTGCCCTTCCTCCCTCCCTCTCTGATTTCTAGATGTACCTTAAGGTCTAGGGCCCACTCCCTTGTTGAGGTCCCCTTTTCAACATCAGTACCCCCAAATATCTTGGCTTTGAACCACAAACAAATCTTAATCAAAGGTCATGTTAAGTCTGGGGAAAAAATTCCTCTCTAGTGGAGAAGCACAACGAGTGAAAACAGAAGGTGACCTTCAAGGCTGCAAGTGGTGTGTGTGCGTGGGTGTTGACAGGCGAGAGTGGGCCCTCTGTCAGGCGGGGGAGGGGACACATCTCTTGCATCTGGCAGGGCTCTGCTTGGTCTGGACTAGGCCTGTCAACGTTCCCTGTAAGGTTGACTTTCGGCTTTTTCATTTGATTTAGGTGGAGGGAGACTACCTGTTTGAAAAAGAAGAAGTCAACTTTTGGGCTGAGCCCCTGATCTTTGTGAAGCACCTCCACAAACACCTCTTCCGTCTCCTCTCCAAGTCCGGCTGGCATCCCTCTAGCCCTGAGAGGCTCTGTCACCTTCAAAAAACAGCGTCAGAGCAGTGCCACCTCCTTTCTCAGCTCTTCAGAGAGCTTCCACCAGCTGCTGAGTTTTTGAAGACAGTGGAGTTCACGAGACTGCGCATTCAGGAGGAAAAGACTTTGGCTTGCTCGAGGTTGCTGGCTTTTCTGGAAGGAAAGGAAGGGGAAGACACCCCGGTTCTCAGTTCTTTAGACTCTCCTGCAGAAGCGAGGCCATTAACTCTTCCAAGAACAGAAATGGCACGTTGAAGAAAGAAAATCTGGGGGGTTGGGGGTGTGTGTGGATTATTCCTCCACTCAATCTGCAGGCAGCACGTTGAACGTAAATTCACAGATGTAGTCCCTTTCATGCCTCCCCCACTGCTGTGCGCCTGGTCTTCTGGCACTTCTTACAGAGGAACTTTTCTTCAGCTCACTCATTCAAGGCAGCCTAGTTTATTGCTGCTACTGTAGGAATTGAGGTGACCCTGTTGGAGATCTACTCTGTCCCCAGGTGTGGGCCACCTGCAGGCCTAAATTAGCCTTTTCCATCCCCCAGGGCCTCTGATGTCCCACCCTGCATTCTCTGTGAAGGGCTCCAGAGAACTTTCAGCATACACACGATTCTTCGCCCCTTTTATTGGCTGTATATAGGGACTGGATTAGTGGGCAAACAGCCCATTTGGTAAGACTTCTAAATTTTATTCCATTCTAATAAAGCAGAAATAAGGTTCCAAATATTGGATCCTGGGAGAATTAAGGATCAACCTTATACAAATAATTTAGTTTTTATTGTCTGTATGTGTAAGTCCTGCAGTAGCCTTCACATTCAATCCTAATTATTAAAAGAGCCATCGAGAGCTCCTCTTATCCCTCCAAAAAGTGTTTGTGCTAATGCTAGGAAACCTGATTTGTCCTATTGCTAGGAAACCCAGTGAAAGCATATGTGTACTCTTGGCTATTAGGAGGAACCTGGGGAAGGGAAAGCCAGAATAAATGGTTTATTTGATGCCTACACTGTTTACTATCATTTACTTGGTGGCAGTAACAAGAAGACTCTCATTTAAGATGCTCATAAACACATTTATCAATTTCAGTGATTTAATCAACAAGGGTTTTAAGCCTTTTCAAGCCAAGCCGAGCCCACTTCTTCAGACACCCAGCAGGTGGCGCTCTTGCATATGGTTTGCTGCTGGTCCTGTTTTTCAGGCTTACCATTTTTAATTTATAACTTCAGAATAAGTGTTACCCACAGATAGTTATCTTGAGATTCATAGCTTGGAAGGGTTATAGCCTCATCCACACTCATTTTCCATCCTAGTTATCTGAAAAAGCCATTTCAGTCATAGTATATAAAGTTGTTCCAGCTTTTAGGGTCTGTACAAATTTTAAAATACTCTTAGGTGAGCAGTCACTTAGAATTATTTTATTGATGTTTGAGGATCTGAAGGGGAAGGCTAGAGAAGAGAGAGTTTGACATGACCATTTCCTACTGCAGAAAAGCTGACATTTCAAGTGTAATTTGTCTCTCTTTGAGAGAAAACCACCTAACACTAAAAATGTTGCCATAAACTGGGCACGGTGTACACCTCCAGTCCCAGCTACTCGGGAGGCTGAGGCAGGAGGATCGCTTGAGCCCAGGAGTTTGAGGCTGTAGTGAGCCATGACTGTGCCTGTGAATAGCCACTGCACTCCAGGCTGGACAACAAGCAAGACTCTGTCTCTGAAAGGGGAAAAAAAAAAAGGCAGCCATACTGGAGTATAAGAAAAAGACTCTTTTAGAAGAGAGAGGAAAGAAGTTAACTCAGTGTCCCCAGTTTTGTTCTAAAGAGAACAGGAATTCCCTGGGTGGTTTTGCAACCATTCAGCCCCAAATGTGGTTTCTGTGATCCTGAATTAATTACCTAGTTAGGCATCTGTGTAGCCCACACCTGATGGAAAGTTGCCAAACTAACACTTCTTTGTTGTTCTAAGACCTAGCTGGTAAGAAGTCAGAGACTTGGTGGCACAATAGGGTGATGACCACAGGAGAATAATTAGAAACTGGCCCAACAAAGCCCAGCTCACTGGAAGAAGCCAGTGTTCCTTTTTTTTTTTTCATTTAAAATGAAAAAAAGCACATAATAATAAAAATATTTTAGACTAGCAGTTACTCTGTACCCATAACACGTTTACATGCTATCTCCAGGAATCCTAATTTGCAAAGTGGGTGTTCTTGTCGCTGTTGACTGGGACTTAATCCAGATTTAGGGGGACAGATGTTTCCACTGGTTTTGTATCTGAAATCTTGTTACTAACCTACAGTGCCTGGGAAATGGCTACTTCACACTTTCCTAATGCATTCCTAGGGGAAACAATACCCTACTCTTAGGGCCACCCTCAAACTCTTGGCTTTGGGGTTATTTCAACAAAGAACAAACCAGAATGTTGCCACAGTGGCCCAGCCCTGTCTAGGGGCCCAGTGCAGGGTGAGTGGTAAACAGTGAAGCAGTCACTTCTTTCTGAGCTCACTACCTACCCTTGGCTCCAAGTTCTAGGGTCCAAGATTTGAAGGGATTCTGTGGACCTCTGTCCATCTAGCCATAGCCTAGGAGCCTGGCTTCTCCATTTTTATGCTTTGTCAATTTAATTTGTAAGATGGTTTTGTGGTCTTTGTCTTTTAAACATCTTCACAGATATCTCATTTGCATCTCAACAAAGGTGAGAGATGAGAAAAGCAGGAATGCTGTCTTAGTTTTACAAGTAAGGAAACCCAACTACCAAAGAGATTATGTGATTTGCCTAAGACCACATGACTTGCAAGGGGCAGGGCCTGAACTCCAGGCCAGCATTCCTGATCCTAAAGTCCTCTCAGACCTACCCTGGACTATGGTTCCCTGGGCAGTGAGGGGAGTACAGCCGTCTCAGGGGGCAGACTCCAAGGAGTCAGCTCCCTGAGGGAACAGGCCTAGCTCACTCTGTTCCAGGTTAACTGACAGAGTGTGCACCAAATGCGAATGAGTGCAAGACACAGCAAGAAAGAAGATCGACTGGGGAAGGGGGTGTGGGTCACGTAGCTTCCTTCCCTGGCGGGTCCTGGATCTTACAGCTTGGGCCTGGTTGCGGCGTGGGCTGCCAGGTGGGTGAAATCGTGGGCCTGGCTCCAGCTTTTTGGCAGCCTGTATAGACGCGGAGTGAGAAGTGCCCTGGACCAGGCTCCGGATCCGCCCGAGTGGGGCTGTCAGCGGCTTTAGCCTCACTGGGCGCTAGGTGGGGGTGTCTGCCCCGTACCCGGACGGGGGCGGAGCGCCTGTTGGCAAATCGCATTTCTTAGTGCAAGCTGTTGGAGAGTGGGGCTGGCGAGAGAGGCAAAGAGGGGAGCCCCACCTGGGCCGCGGGTCTGCCTCAGCGGGACCCTGCAGCCCTCACCGAGCTAAGGCAGGGCGCGGCACCCCCCGGCCCCCAAGGCTGGAGAGAAGAACTTGGAGGGCACGACAGGCCCAGGCTGTGCCGGGCTGGGAGACTCGGCCGGCAGCTGCACCACAAGCCCTGGAAGCGCTGGGGAAGGCCGGGCCGACCGGCAGACGGAAGGGGTGGCGGGAAGTCGCCTCCATGCCTGCACGGCTCTCCCGGCCTTTCCTCCCTTCCTCGGAGTCCGCTCCCCCGCCCGGGACGCCCCGCGCCACTCCGCGCCTTTGGCCCTGGCTCAAGGTCTTGTGATGTGATTAGCAAAGCCAGCGCCTTGTCCTCAGACACTCATCCCTGCCCGGCAGGCCCCAGCGCTCAAGCCCTGTTTACTGAGCCTGGGCGGGGAGGGGGGCGGAGAAACGGGCACAGGCTCCTCCGGGCCGCAGCAGCCGCCCGCGTGGCCGCTCCTGCCCCCACCCCCTCCCCCGCGTCTCCACGTGCGGTCGGGCTGGAGCAGCCACCTACGGGGCTCAGGCCCCAAGCCTCCGCCTGCCAACCAGAGCACCCTTTGCAAACCAGCCGAGCCGCGCGGACGGTTGCAATATTCTTGCATTTTGCAATTCCCGCGCCCAGTGCAAAACCGAGGGTGGGAGATAAAAGCTCCACAAGTCCGCCCGGGAGGATCAGGCAGGGAAAAACACGTCCGGAGCTGCAGAATCCCGGGCACGTTGAACGTGCTGGGGCTTTCCAACACTGCAGGCCCAGAGGAAAAGAGCCGTAGGTTCCCGCCGCCACCCAGCAGCACCCATCTAAGCCGAGCTCTCCACGCTGCCCCGGGCGCCCCGGCAGCCCGCCCCGCCCCGAGGCCTCCCGCCCCCTCCCCCAGAGGAAAAAAAAATTGGCGGCGGCCAATGGGAGGCCAGGAAGGCGCCTGACGTCCGCGAGCCGGCGGGCGGCGTTGCCTGGAGACCCCGGCGGGGTCAGCGTTCTGTCCCCTCCCCCGGCGCGCCCGCCCTGCCGCTGCCGCGCTCCCCGGCTCTATATAGGGCGCGCGCTCGCGGGCCGCCGAGTTCCAGCAGTCCGCGAGCTGCCGTCGGCTCCGCGGGGGGGGCGGGCCGGGCACCCCGGGGCGCGGAGCAGCCCTCTTTGCTTTTTCTCTCCTCTTCCCCCCACTCCGCACTCCAGGCCACCCTCTAGCCAGTCCAAGCCGCTTCCCTCTTCCTCTTCTCTCGCCCCCCAGCAAACTTTCGGTCCCTCCCCGCCCCTCGCCCGTTATTCGTCGTGGCTCGAGCCCGGCCGCGGCGCCCCGAGGGCTCCTCCCGACCTCCCTGCCTGCAGCTCCGACCATTTCGGGACCCAGAAACATGTCGACCACACTTCTGTCCGCCTTCTACGATATCGACTTCTTGTGCAAGGTACGCCGGGGAGCAGGAAGGGAGGAAGGCGGGCAAGCAGAAGCCATTCGAGTTCTCAGACTTTGCCTCTGTCCTTGGATTTGGGGGGCTCCCTCCCCACCTTGACTTTCGGTAGGGAAAAGTCCGGAGTTTGCAGGAGTGTGTGCTAGCGCCTCGTAGGCGGGGAGAAGGACCTGGGAGGGAGGAAGGGCAGGAGGGAGCTGCTGTAGCTGTTTAGTTTCTTCGCAAACGACCGCGGCCACGCTGCCCGGGGCTTCCCGGATGGTGTTTGCGCCGCCCACCCCGGCGGCCCACGGGCAGATCATCACATGTCGAGACCCAGCGCGGCCCGAGGTGGGCGTCCTCCATTAACCCGCTGCTTCCAACGCGAACTTGCTGCTTTTGCGCGTGCATGGGTGGAGGGTGGAGGCCGACTCGAAATCCGCAGAAAGGGGGAAAAAAAGAAGAACCAGGCTGGGAGTTCTCTGCAGCTCGCCCCAACACTTCCCTCCCCTTCCGTTTTTCATCCTTTCCCCGCTCCCCTCCCTTTGGCAGACGGAGAAATCCCTGGCCAACCTCAATCT